TTTAGTGAAATTCAGAACGGCACCCTGTCCACTCCCAGTGAGAGCCATAGGACGATACCGGGCACTTGGCATTAACCGATCTTGGGACGACTGACCGAGAGCCATAGGACGATAGCGTGGACTTGACATTAACTGAACTAAGGACCGACGTTGAGAGGGAGCGTAGGACTGGGTATCCCGTGCGTACCATCCCAAGATAAAGCCTGACAATAGGAGCAAAGCGGCGAAAGAAATTTTCCTGAATACAGATGCCCGTGCCATAGTGATGTTTAGGCTGATGTAAAGGCTGACAATATGAGCAAAGCGACGAAAGAAATTTTCCTGAATACGGAGGTCCTTGCCATAGTGATGTTCCTAGTATCAGCAGAGTTGACGCTGACCCAGCATCACCACACATAGTAATTAGCATTGCAGATTAGCTGCGAGCATTACGAGATCGATACCAATGGATGTATATTTCGTCATTTGCAATAATTGCATTTGTACGGAAAGCCTTGTATGCCACGAAGTACATATTTTCGAAAAGTGAGGTATACTTTCTCGAAGTCCGTTTTTAGGAGAAATTGTTTAAACAGGAAGGCCTATATTTTTAAGGAGGTTTGTTTATTATAAGATATACATTTTTCAAGCTTATTTCAAGAAGCATATTTTCAGGCTGGGATTAATTTCACAAAAATAAACTTCCACAAAAATCTAACTCATGAAAACGAACTAAAAACCTTCCCCCCAAAAACTTGAAAAATGCATCTCTTTCCAAATAGATACAAGTAACCTTTCTATTCATAGATATACAGAAAGGAAGTGGAAAATATGTTTCTCGACCCAACTAACTCTCGTCACAAAGTTGAAAAAATATACTTCATAGAAACGAGCTCGAAAAAATGTACTCCAAATTTTGAAAATACATACTGGATGGCACTACGGGGCTTTTTTACATCGAGGATCTATTTTCAGTGAGATACATTCACAAACTAGAGGTAACATAGTTTTAGCAGACGGATAAAACGGGGACGATAGAGGGCTTTTTTTTATATTTATGGGTACAGTATACAAAAATACAGCTTTTCCTAAACTAGATTAGGGCTAAGTTCGAAGTTTTAATCAAATAGGAACCGACTTCATTGCAATATACATATATGTACCCAAGCATGTCGATAAAATAGATCAATTACAAATTACCACTAAATCTATCCACTGTTACTTTATACGTGCGATCTTTTCTTTGCAATGTAATTTATGTAGGGGAAATTGTGTGTGTAGTGCTCGATAGTTGTGGGTCCAGACCAGCATATAAGTTGACACACTTAACAGTGATCAATATCTTCCACTTCAAAAAATAAGGAAAAATACTCGCAAGTTTCAAAGGTGTTCAAGACACATATCAAATTAAAGCTCACTTCCTCATCTTTCATTTTCCTTTCAGTTATTTTCAGTGGCTGAAACGATGACATTTGAGGATATTTCTCTCCAGAGACAATTATCCCTCAAAACAGTGAGGATGTCCATCGCCATTTTGGAAAATGATGCATATACTCCATGTCAAAAAAGAGCAATTTGGAGGGCCCCGTTTGGTCCGATATTCTCAGAAATGCAACCTGACAGTCCTGCCTCTGGATTTCTTCCACCTTTTAAACAAACCACTCAGTCCACGTGCCACGAAATGTTTTAATAGCAGCGAGTTTGACAGCCGACAAATCGTGATTCGGCCGTGCAGGTAATTTTGGACCTATTTACAGGCCTGCAACCTTACATATGTTTCATTCTTTCTTTGACCACACGACTGTTACCGGTGGTGGCATATTCCTTTAATTGACAGTACAGATGATATCATGTGAAATACTTATCATCCCTTTGATTCACTTCAATTTCTTTATTTTGTTCTTCATTCAAATCAAGCTGATATGGAGTACCATACAGCAATCGCAGAAAGGTGTCCTGGCTGTCCATTATAAATGTTAGTGCTCCTCGTTGCTCTCACCAAAACCTTCATGGCCTGCTCTATTCACAAACTTTTGTTTCGACGAGATTTGTCTGATGGCGTCGTTAGCAAATCATCGTTTCCCTCGTAAACCCTGGCTTCCCTCGTAGTAGTGTTTCTCTTTCTGCAGGACTGTCCCCATGTGGCAAAAATGCGATCATATCTCCAAAGTCTGTAATTCTTTAGGAGTTCTCCTGTGAGTTGCAAATGAACTTTGTACTGGTTTTTCTTTAATGTTTATACTTGTGTGAGCTTTCAGAGGTGCTTTAAAAGATATAATTTGGAGAATACAGACGAACATCTTCGGCACGTTAGATTTTTGAGCTGCTATATTATTTTGTGCAATACTTATATAGGCACGCACTCAAAAGTACAAAGAACGTACTTTAAGCAAGAAAAGATATTTTTAACAAGAACTAGAAAAACTAAGGTTGGACAAACAAGTAGTCCTGGAAAAGGATATTAAAGCAAGGGTCCTTGAGTAATTATTTACAGAAAAACTAAAACAATGCATGTGCTTGTGTTACGTATCTGAGAGTCCTCTCTTGTCTCTCAATCTGAATTGTTGAATAAAGTACAGTTTATCTTGGGTGCAACAACTCTGAGATGTCGTTAGCAAAGGATCCTCAATGGATGGTATGCAAACAACTCTGGGATATCATTAGGCAATGATCCTCGAAAAAGCCAATTCCGGGTCAGCAACCTTACTGTCCAGGAGTCCAATGCAAGGGGTGAAATTCTGAGCCTCTCCCTGGCTTGCTAACATCAAGCAGGTATCACCATTCCTTGATGTGCACCCGCTCTACCTCGGGTTCAGCAGACGACGGCAGATTGCGATAACTTGGATAAATCTGAGTCAACAGTTACTGAAATATTTAGAATTGAAATCTGCAAAAAGTTGATTGATTACAAGTGAAACGATTAATGAACTTCAAGAGTGGATGACATCGAATTTATGAGTTTCTTTTTTAAGGAAAATAATCTTAACAAAGTTGTGGTTATGTGGTGGATGGATAAAACTTCATTATTAAAGTCACTTGGGGCGCTATTTGCTTCATACCGCCACAATATAATACTGAGGAAACATCGGGCTTCATGTACCACCATAGGCCTATACTTATATTAATTAAATAGGTACAACGAACTCTCCTCTTAGCAACAATCTACATTCACTGAATGTTGTCGACGGTTGAATCACTCCCTGTAGAACAGTATGCCTCCTATAATTACGCTCATTTTATTGCATTTCGATGTGATCAGCATTTGCTGACGATACCTGGTCAACTATTGACAACCTATATTCCGATACTGATGTGTTTATACATTCAGAAAGTTGGTATGTCTGCATGCTTTATTCCCTGTTTGTTATATCAGGTTAAACTGTTGTGTTCACTGCCGCAACGACAGGACGTTGGCAGTACACATTTATGTATCGCATCAGAAACTGGCACATCAGAAAGGACGACATGCAGCTGGCATGTCAGATCGAATCGATTGCCCAGGCGACCTGTGTGATTGGCTAATCAAATCGATCTGGTCGACGTTGGTCACATAACGTATTTCTAAAATAAACTATTAACGGTCTGTCGGGGATATCTGTAAGAGGACTTTGGTCTTCCCGTGCTGATCATTTTATCATCCATAATTATATTTATTCATCACATTTTAACGAGAAATTATTCTCTCCAGTTGCAGTCATTAAAAACTTCACAATCATTACTGTGGGGATCCTAATTGTGTGTATTAATTACTCTCGGTATTGAGCCTGAGAGGAAATCTGACCTTGCTAGGTAACACTATACAGTTTCTGTGGGCAGCGCATGTTACATCGTTCGATCTTCCACAGGTGGGGTCGATATGTTGTCCACGACTCGCAGCCGTATTACACAGTTGTCCGTGGCCAGGAAAACTGTGGTAGACTTTGATCTTGGTGCTGAGTCTGATACCACGCTTCTTGTACTACGACGGTGTTCAATTCGTCAGTCGGAGACACTAGCTTTGCTGATGCGAGCTGAGATCTCATTGTCGACTTTGACATTCTGAGAGATAATTGCACCCAAATAGCAGAACCTGTCCTCGGCTTTGAGTGGTTTGTTGCCAATGGTGATGACGGGGTTTGTGGGCAATGTTCCTGGCCGTGGCTAATAAAGCACTTCCGTCTTCTTGATATTGATAGTTAACCGTACCGAACGGAAGCCCTGGCAAATTGATCCACAATAAATTGCGCATCTTCTATGAGTGAGCGATCAAAGAGCTATCATCGGCGAAGAGTAGATCCTGCAACATCATCCACAACGTCTTGGTCTTGGCCTTCAGCCTGTGGAGGTTGAACACACTCCTCTCCAAACGAAACCGGATCTTCGCTCCTCTTTCACAGTCCTTGAAGGTGTCATGGAGTGTGACGTAGAACACAATGCTGAAAAGCAGAGGGGTCGTAACGCAGCCCTGTTTCGTACCATTATTGACTAGGAACTGGTTGAACATGGCGCCCTCTTTCACAACCCGACCAACCATACCGTCATGAAACGAACAGATGATGTTAATGATCTTGTCCATGGTCAATATCTTGTATAGGCAGCTAACCTTGGCAAAGATCTTCCATAGCCCTTCCGTGGCGACGGAATCAAAGGCTTTGGTGAAATCTACAAACACAGCGTAAAGATCCATGTTTTGTTCCTTGCACTTCTCCTGAACTTGCCTTAGAGAGAACA